ACGAGTGTTTTTATAGTAAAATCTGATTATTTTATCCCTCGGATTATCAAAGAAACTGAAGGGTCAGATAATTTATTTTACACTTGTAAACAAATAAAAAACATAAAGTGTAGTTGTTGGGATACGAAGCATGTGCGAAATGATATATCACCTCAGTTTTTAAAATAACCAAAGGAACAAGTTATTTTTTTATTTAAAAAAATATGGCGCGTCTTGGAATAAAACCTCAATTTTTTCTGGATGACGTGAAAGCTTCGTCATGAAAAGCGTTATTTGTTGTAGTATGATCCGTTATGTTGGTCTTTATTGTTATACTTTGAATGTGGTTGAAGGGTTGCAAGACTAAAAAAACAAGGACCTTCGGGGAAGGGTTTGAAATCAAAATGAGTAAAAAATGGTTAAATAATCATATTTATGCGCTTGCTAAATTATTTAAGCAGGAAAAGATGGTTGGATGCAAGTGGGTGCAAGTGACAAGATCAAGGTTCAAGTGTGGTTCGAACAAGATTGAGTTTCAAACATGACTTGGACTTGATCAAGATTGTTGAATAGATATTTCAATATTAGAGAGAGCGGCAAGGTGGTTGATGATTAAACTCGCATCACCATTCAAGGCGTAGATTTGTGGTAGTGATCCTCAAAATCTAAAGTGATGAAGAAAGAAAAATGTGTTTCGAGTCTATCTTAAATTAGAACTATAAAAAGTAATTGGTAAGTCAAAGGAGGCGCTAAAGATATGGTTTGACAGGTGGTAGTAAGCGTCAACGTTAGAGCCGCGAGGGTGACGATTTGAAGAATCGGCTAGAAGCTAGTGGCAGAGGTCGATGATTCTGACGGTGGAGACCCAGTGGTGGTAGTTATCCATCGACGGAGCCACAATATCGATGGTGGTCCACGATGATGACGAAAGGCGGAAGCCAAAGTCTGGTTGCTAGAGGCATCGAGGCTTTAGATGGTCCGCAGTGGCGGCATTCAGGTGAAAGCCGATCAATAATTTATTCAGATGAATTGTGGATTTCAGAGCAAGCCGGTTCACATATCCATTCAATGGTGGGTTATATTTTAGGCATGTTTATATATATATATATATATATATATATATATATATATATATATATATATATATATATATATATATCACTTTTTGTAGTTAAGAGAATACGACATAATCTAAGTTAGAGAGGCAAGGATACAATAAACAATTATTTAAGTTTGAGAAAATTAGGATACAATAAAAAATTAGTTATTTAAGTTTGAGAAAATTAAGAGATATTTAAAAAATTGAGAAAAACTTTCAAACATTTTGGGTTGGTTAATTCTTGTATATAGAGTCGGAGAGATTGAGAAATATTTTAAGTTGAAAATATGATTTGTTTTTTAGAAACTATTTTCTTATAACTTATTTATAATCTTTTATAATAATATTTTAAAATATAATAACTCTAAAAATTATTATTTCTCTTAGAGTTAGTCGTTTTTATTGAATTAGATAAACAAATTATTTATGTCCATATCTCTTACCTTTCTCTTATTGGTTATGGATTTGTTTACACTATATAATAAATTACTTTGTTATTTGACTATTTAATATATAATAAATTACTTTGTTACTTGACTATTTAATTGATGGATTGGTATTGTTAACAAAATTATTGCAGTTATCAACAAAATTATTGCTATTGTTAGATTTTTAACGAGAAGATCTTGACGTAGTTGAACCTAAATTTTCTCTATAGCTCCGATGGAAATAAGTTTTATTCCGGTGTATCGGTATTATATGTTAGTACTTCTATTTGACAAAATTCAAGCATTAGTTATCTTCGTTTACTTTTAAATAAAAACTTATTTTATAATAAATGTAATGAAATGATATTCAAATATTAATATTAAATATGGCGAAATTATATCTCATTTATTTTTATTTGAATCTATAAAATATGATCTGTTTTCTTTTATTTGAGTCCGAAGAGATTTTGTAAAAATAAAGATAAAAATTGTAAGTAAAAAGATATAATTGATTTAATTGATTATTATTATTCCTCTTTTATTTATTTATTTTTTATGGATTTTCTTAATCTAGTATGTATTATAACTCATTTGTTTGTTTCAATTTACAAAGGATGATATACAGACATTGTTTTGTTTTTGTTTTATTTATTACAATTTATTTAAATAATATTTCATTCTACAATTTTATTTTATTTTATTAATTTTAAAATATTTAAACTATCAAGATATATATATATATATATATATATATATATATATATATATATATATATATATATATATATATATATATATATATATATATATATATATATATATATATATATATATATATATATATATATATATATATATATATATATATATATATATATATATATATATATATATATATATATATATATATATATATATATATATATATATATATATATATATATATATATATATATATATATATATATATATATATATATATATATATATATATAAAGACGTAATAAATCAATTTGATTTAATTTTGAGTGGGAATCAATGATATTTTTAGTTGGGTAATATAATTGTCCGTGGTTGGTTCAAAGTTGGAGATCTAATTGAATTTTTTTTATATTTTTATATTGTATTCATGTATTCAAAGTTTTTATATTTTTTTATTATATATTAATGTAAATAAGTTGTTAATATTTTTAAAAATTTTAATTTTATTTTAAAAAGAAAAAAATTATTTTTTAAAAAAATGACCCACTTAAAAATCGTAATTTTATTTGATTTTTTGTTATATTTTTCATGAGATACAAATCAAATTATTTTTAAAAAAAAATTAGTTAAATGGAATTGATATTTGTATTTAAAAAATAAGACTAAGTTTAAAACTTTTTTTTGGGGTTTAAACATTTACTTTTATTATTATATAAAAATACTTAAACTACAATTAAAAAATAATAAATAACATATTTACTCAAATAACACTACTAAAGTAGTACTCGGGAAAAAAAAAAGAGTTCAGTATTAATTTATGAATTTTAAATGATACAAGCTTACTATTCTAGTCAATAGTATAAGTAAATATATATTCCAATTTAGTGAATAATCATGGTATTTGGTATATTTAAACAAATACGTAAATTATTTAATGAATATAAAATATAATTTTTGCCTAAAATAGTGACAGAAAACTATAAGAGATAGTACATGCTAAGTGACATGGAAGTCAAATGGTACAAGATCAAATAATACAGTACTAAGTAATATTTATCGTTTAGAATGAAAGACTAACCTCAAATCAATGTTTTAGATCTTAATATGAACAAACAGATAGATAAACATGTTTAGCTAGTTAAATTTGATTTATAATTTATCATAGACTTTGACTTTTGCACCCCAAAATATCCAACTAATTAAATTTGATTTATAATCCATCATAGATTTGGACTCTTGCACGCCAAAATATTCATTCACGACTTTGAGAAAGAATGCTGTGCTTCAGAAGAATATGTTGTAATTTATATGAAGTTCTTTTTTGTTATTTCTTTCTTTCATATGAATAAATGTACTTCCTTTAATTAAAAATGTTTTCACTAACAAATTTCAAAGTTTAAGATTACATAAATATTTTTGTTAATTTTATCCCAAAAAAAAATTATTGATAATTCTCTTAAATAAATCTCTGAAAAAAGGAGATAAGACTTGGTAGTGGTTGTAATTATCTTAAATAATTGTGATAGAATGATGAAAAATATATACAATAAGATTATAATTGACAAATGATTCATACACAAAGGTTTTAAAAAACGGTACCAAGACAACGGCATCAACAAAATTGGGATTAAGAAACTGTAATCATAATTAGTGTCGCGACACTTGTTCCATCCCAAATCACAAAAAACCTTTATACAATTGGGACGCAACCGGGACATTATTTTAAAACCTTAACCATAACCTCATTATCAGCACTGTTTGACCATAACCTCATTATCAAACACAAATCAAAAGGCTACAATATCAATACAAATCAAAGGTCCTAAAAATACAATCATTAATAGCTGATCCTTGTGTTAACTTAGAGAGACCCAACCTAGCCCAAGCTCAACAACATCTAATATGGTCAACAATCTCTTCAGATCAAATCATGAGGATTTTCAACAAATTTAACAGTAATTGCATACAGTAAAATATATTATATCATTTAGAACCCAAGAATGAACTAGCTCAAACAGATGCTAACCTCGCATGAATTTTGGAATAGGACGTTTTTTGAATAAATTAAAATTTAAAGAAATATAAATTAAAATTTAAAGAAATTTGGGGAAACTATATGTCTCAGTAACACTGACATATGTCGGTCATCAAACACGCCTTTGATCTTAAAGTATCTTAAAGTAGCAGTGCAACAAATAAGGTTGAATCCAACAATAACAGAAAGGAAAAAAAAAAACTATAAACTCTCACAGACAAATTGAAATGAAATCAATTATTGTCCATCGGGGGTAAAAAACCAATTACTAAAACTAAATTTCAACAACAGTAGAAAGAAAAATTACAGCAAAACTCAACTAAGAATTAAAACCAAAAATAATTACACTATAATGACAATAAAGTGCTGCACATAACTTTGAAATGGGGTTTTATTCAAACAAAAGCTCAAATCCAATTATGATGCTAATCTCAAAATGGACATACCCAAAACAAAGTTTTAAATATAATCTCAATCTGAGGCACATGTTTATTTGGCCACACCAAAACAATCAAGGCTTCACACCCATTACAACCAAAATGACAATCCTACTACAAACACAAACTACACTAATAAGCATTACAATTGAGCGAGAACACCAAGAAAAAACTACAGTTGCAGAAGCATCAAAGTTAGCTAAATCTACCACTATCCTAGCAAGCCAATAGGTGGAATTTAGTATGGTCAGCTGAAAAAGGTTGTACCACCATGGTCCAGAGGTTTACTTCTATTGAATGTAATAACAATACTAACTTGACTATAGGTTTATTTCTATTTCTATTTCTGTATAAATCCCAGACGCAATCTGTTTGTTGATTCAAGTCATTTTCAGAAAGTGGAAGGGAACCTAAAGAAGCAGCTTAATTTCTAAAAACAGAGCATAGGATATAAAAGTATGCCAGATTGTCAATCACCATATATTTCACAAGTCATAAACAAAACATTTTATACAGCTAAGAAATTCTTCATGATACAAAACACAAGTACAGAGAGAACACTGGTAAACACAACCAGAAACATACTATACAGTTAATTTAATATGTGAACTGAACTTCATCCAAGAAGAATTCACAACTTCAGCATCAATTTGAAATTGTAATGTTAGATTCTAACACGATAAAAAATGAGCAGCAATGTACATGCAAATTCAGAAAGATAAATCTCAAAGGAATGAAGGAGGAGATGAAGCATAAGAGAAAGTGAGATTACGTTAGCTGCGATTTCGAAGTAGCAAAGCTGCGATTTTGAAATGGAGAAGAAGCGAGAAAGGATTGTGCACAGATGCCTAAGAAGAGTCACCACCGCTGGAGAAAGAGTCGGAGAAGTCTCATCGCCGCTCTTGCTGGTGAAATTGATTTGCAAAAACTGACATGAACAATTAGAGAAGTATTTATAGTAAGTAGTAACATACATAACCAAATTCAAAGGAACACCTCATGAATTAAACTGTATTGCAAATTTTTCACAAAAATCATCATGTCAGTTTTTGCATTTAAGTAATTATTTCTCAATATTCCTTGAGCTTCCTGTGAGCTGAAATGTTTGTAACTACGGAAACACAGTAATGCAACAAGTACACGCGCAACTTCAAATTTCAATACTAACACAAATGTTCTCCTTGAAACAAAATGGACCATATAATGAAAACAAGTCATCGGTACCATTCAACACTCTATTTTAGTCAGCAACCACTCTAGACTAATTCTTCAAACACTAACACACTTTATTATCTTGGTAGAAGTAATAAAAAATAATTATTAAGATTGACTTTGCAATTAAACACTCTTTCACTAGGAACATTGGGATGATACTTCCATTATTTTGATATTTTGATAATAAATTGAGTACAAGTAGCTAATGGAAGTTACAAGAAGTCAAGAAGAGAGACTAGAGTAATATAAAAAATCATGTCTCTTGTGTTTCAGTCACCTGAGGCCTTCAAATCATGGTAATTGAATAAGTTAATAGAATTTTCCTCTATAAATTAATGCATAGGATCAAAATGACTTTCATGTACCAATATGAGACAAAAAACAACAAACTACCAGATAGAGGTCCATTACGAAAAGCCAGAAATACCAGATAGAGGTCCATTACGAAAAGCCAGAAATACCAAATAGATGTCCATTACCAAAAGCCACAAATACCAAATAGATGTCCATTACCAAAAGCCACTTGATTTTGCATTGGTTATATTTTGGAACACAAGTGGAGATGTTTTAATATCATATATGCAAAAATGCGGATACTGCCTTTCAGAACCAAGACTACTGCTGTACTGCAGCAGATGCTCAAACAAGAAATATAGGATTTACTACAAATGCTCAATTCCAGAACCAGTTATGCAACGAAAAATAAAATAAACAGTAGAAATAATTTAATTGGATTGAAATACATTATATTAAGAGTTGGGACTGCAGCACTGTAAGCTAAGATGGGTGTCTAAATTCCGATTATAAACATGGTTTTTACTCTTTAGAAGCTTAAAAAATCACATTTTAACTTGCTTGAGTGAATCAAATGACACTCAATGAAACTGATTTCATCGTACACAGAGAACCAATTATTCGTTAGACATTGTATGTTCGTTCCCTAAATCTCTATCTAAATATATTCAAATCCAAAACAACAATAAACATTATGAGAAAGCATGACTTCATTTTGCCTGTATTATCTGTATAATTTCATAACATTTTGGATATTGAAACAACACATAAGAAAACTACAATATCCTTAGCTAACAAATCAAGACAAAATAATTCATACACAAACCCTAAAGAAATAGAGTACCTGAGAACTGAGATATTACTTCACATAGCCAACTCAGAACTCAACGTCTTTTACTGAGAGACTTATTATGTAACTCTAGCAATCGTTCAAGAGTTTCTAAAGACCATGTTTCCTCATTTTGGGCGTAGACCTTTAGATTTTGAGAGTCGATTATTATGCTGACATTGCCAAACCCATATATTTGATGACCGTTGTGCATTCTACCAGGTTTAAGTTTGAACAGCAAACCGTGATCCCGAGCATAGGCCTCAATGAGTTCTTTCACACTCATTTCACTAACACCATCTGAATTGACAGCACCGCCCAAGTTTGCAGCAGCCTGTTGTTGAGCAGAGGCTGCTGCTTTCTGCTGAGTCTCAAATTTCCTCTGCTCGCTTACCTTAATATAGCTTATCTTCTCCTTCAAACCAGGTTGCGCCACTTTCATACCATCAACAGCCTGGTTCATCATTTCAAGACCGCTATTGAGCTTGTATCGAATGCTTTCATTGGCCAACAGTTCTTTTGGAATAAGTTCTTTCCAGCCCAAATACCATTTCGTAACTTCATCAAAGTTAGGATTTGAGCACAACCAATGATACAAAACCGCAAGCCACTTGGCAAAGAAGGTCTCCATCGTGTCAACCATCATATGAATTGGAATGGCCGAAGCCCAATTCATTACCCAATAAAATTGATCGAGATTCTGACTTGCCGGGTTCACTTGGAATTCATCTTGCAAGACAGTCTTCAGCTTTGGTACAATAAAACGGTGCATAAGTTGTTGCCAACTATCAGAATCAAATACAGTCTTCCAAGGAGACAATATAGCATACGCAGAACCATCACTTGGGTGCCATGCACCAAGAACAGTACTCAATTTGAAACGAATTGTCTGGTAGATACCCTCCAGCTTGTGCCCTAGCAGAGGCAGCCACGGATGCACCCATGTGTGGATAGGAATGGTCTCAAGATGTGGTTCCCAAGTACTTACAGCACTCAATAGTTTCGGCATGACTATGGTGTCTAATATAGTAGCGAGAACTGAAGAAGGTAGCAACTTTTCCCATGACTCCAGAAACCGTAGCATCGGCTCAGGATCCCGGGCATGCCAGGTATTGATACCAGATATTCTAACAGCTGGTAATACAACCTCCGAAGCCAAGTGAATATAAGGTGATGATGTCTCCCATATATCAAAACAATCATCTCCTTGAAGCAATATCTTCCACTGTGATACCAATTCCAAACCATGTGATGGGTTTCGAAGAGGGTCCCATCCTTGGAACACTCTAATAAACAAAGGTAGAGCATATGAGCATGCAATGCATGACAAGTTATACAACTTATAGTCCTCAGGATATCTTTTGAGCATGTCCCTAAAGCATTGAGCAAGGGAATCCAACGTTAATGTTCCCAAGGTGTTCTCTTCTCCGACTCGGTCCAGCACACTCATTATTTTCTCAGAATTGTTTAGCTGTTTCTTTTGAAATGCTGCCTCAGCTTCCAAATTTTCTTTTTCTTTTTTCAAACTAAGTGCTATATCCCTCTCTTTCCTCAAATCTCTATCAATCTCTTGGATGTCAGCCTCAGCCAACCGAACTATTAGCGCTATGTTATGCTGAAGTTCAGGCATTGGAACATCATTTTCCTTTGCTTTCTCCTCAGCATTCAAATCAGACAAATTTGTATACACTCGAACCTGTGGCCCCCTCATATCATAAATCTTCTGAACAACCTCCGAATCTTCTTCTTGCTTGCTCGCCAACAACTCCTCAGCAGTAACATACTCTTCCTCTTCTTTCTTTTTCTTCTTCTGCTTTAACCAGGACCGTTCTTTCATTCTTCCAACTGTAGGCTGCACGGCTCCTCCCTGCACAGTCTTCTCTGTCTGCAAAGCAGGCAACGCCGTTTTATTCTCCTTTGATTCATTAAATCCAAGACCAGAATTCTTAGCCCTCAATTTCGCCTCAATAGGATTTAAAATACCCTGCTCATTCTTCCCAAGACCGCCCCCTTTATAACCCATCTTCTCCAGCAGCTTCATTCCAATCCCCTTCGTATGACTCTCAAATTTCCCAACATCCACAGATCCCTCATGACCTAAACCCAGCCCCTGCTTCTGCACCTTCTTCTTCTTCTCCAATCTCTCCTTCTCCCTCCTCATTGCCCCCTCCTTAAGCTTCTTCCCAAACGCAGTAGGCAAAAATTTATCATCACTGTTATCATTATCATTATCATTATCATCAGAACCATTCCTATCAAAACCATTTGCAGCACCACGACCATAATTAAAACCTAAACCAGACGTACTAGCAGACCCAAAACCTAATCCTAACTCAGACCTATCTTCACTATTGTAACTATCCTTCTCATCATTCTCTTTTGGATTTTCATCAACCTTATCCTGATTAGGCAAAGTTCCAGTAGAAATGAAATTCACCGGCTTAGTGAGGTCTTGTTTCTTCGATAAATCACGGTTTTTCCTTCGCTTTCTACTAGAATAATCATCATCGTCGTCATCTTCGGAATCAGCAAAAACTCCATAGAGAACTTCATCTTTGGTTTGAGTTCGTTTCTCTTTACGCGTTCGGTAGTAGAACTCACCACCTTTCCATCTACCACCTTCAAAATCATTCTCCATTCCGAATTTCTCCATCTCTTGATCTTCATCCATCTCTTAAAACGACTTGAAGAATAAACCTGTGATAAAAAGAACAAATTATTAGGGTTTGAAAAGGGGGGATTTGTTAGTGGAGGGTTTATATTGCGAAAAAATTGAGAGAAAGAGTGTGGATGGAGTAGGGGGAGTTACCTGAGAAAGAACGGAGAGGAGGTGGGCGACGGCGGAAAGGGACGGCGGCGGGATTTCTTGATTGTTCTGTGAAGAGATTTTGATGGGTTAGAAGAATGATGCACACCGGTAATAGGGTTTCACGAACCAATGTATCCTTTGAAAATTTAGTATTATACTAGATAGTCGGATATATTTGAAATAATACTATATTTTTCTTTAGAATAATTTTTATAGTCCTTGTAAAACTATTTTAGACATCACTGCATCACTTGTTTTCTCTAATTTTTATAATAGTTGATATTTAATTTTTTATTTAAATATAAAATTATTTTATATGTCATTTAAATAATGTTTGTAAAAAAATAAACATAAATTTTATAATTAAAAATATTAAAAGATATTTAATATATAGAGAGAGAGAGAGAGATTTTAAAGGGTTTTTATCCCCTCATCTGACATTTTGAAGAAAGTATTTTATTCTTTGACAACTCCATTATTCACGACATAGTAACGTATTGGCATATGTTTAGCCATTTCAGCTTCATCAGTTTCCTCAGTCTCTTCGACTTCCATCACCCGATCATACTCATAAGGCAACACAAAAACAACATTATAATTGATATCGAGGGATGACTCAAAACTTGAGTTAAAATCGTCCATCAGCATATCTTCGCCATCAAGAAGTTGCTCTGATATCTTTCCTTTGGATTTTTCTCCCTTAGGAGAAAATAGTTTCCTTCCCACTAGTCTTTTCTCTTAGACCATGTCAGTGGATAGAAGCTGGATTCAACCATTCCTTTCTCTCCTGCTTCTCTCTTTGCTTTCTTCCTTTGTTAGAATCTTCTCCATTTAGACCTTGGCATAGGGTTCTTTCCATTGTAATTCTAAAATTTATAAGCATGTTGTCAGGACACTTGAAACTTCTTTCGGTAGGCAATCAAATAGCCTCGTTCGAATTTAAAGCTTCACCATTTTCCTTGTCCGAGAGCTCTATTTTCGACAGGCTTTAACCATTTCTTTGCTAGGAAATCTTTAGTAGGCTTAAATGAAACCTGTTTATTTGCCATGAGGTCCCTTCCTCCCGGTTGTTGCCTTTGAGGGACTCCCCTCTTATCGAACAAAAATTTCCCCCATCATTTTTCCAAATCTATTTTCGACTTACAACTCGAACCATCTATAGGTTTTCAGTCGCTTTCCCCTCATACATTGAACTGCATCTTGGACACATTAGGGCTTCAGAATTCTTCTTTTGACAACGAAGAAGAAAATCCAGCAGATTCTCATTGGCCTTGGGATAAGCCACTTTCATTTGGTTTTCTTCCCTTCGAATGCTTTCCTCATTAGTATCCATGATTACTTCCCCGCTGAGTTCAACCATATTGATTTCGACCTTAAGACCATTAATGATCCTACACCTTTGCAACTTCAGTCCGAGGCTTTTAGTTTCCTCTATTGCTTCGACATTCTTATTTAAACCCTCTGTGGTTTCATTGTTGGTGGTCTGGTCTTTGAAGTCTTCAGTAACTTCGATCAAGTTGATATCTGATGGTTTTGTGTAGTGGGCATCATCCACTTGTAGAGGGTCAGAATCAACCTTCATTTTCACTTTTTTCCTCTCGCCGAAAGTCTTCCATCTCGGATAGCATTTTGCGCCAAATCCCTGAAAAGAAAACATTACGAGGTTTTATGGCCTAAAAAATTATGATACTTGCAAAATTCTCTTTTCTTTCGTTGTTCTAACGGAGGAATTTTAGTGCCAGATGGCACTATCATTTGGCCATCTTTGACTAACAAGTCAAAGATTTTGTCACACTTTGTTACATCGAATGTATATGTTCTCTTTGGGAACTTATCATTCTTTTCTTGTTCGACGAGATTTTTCCCATTTGAAGGAGCAAGAACTTTGCATGAATATGGTGGCCCTTGTTGTAATTCAGCTAAATCTATTTTGTTTTCGTCGAAGCTGTAACAACCCGAATTTAATTAATTAGTTAATTAAATTAAATAAGGATTAATTATTTAATTTAGATGAAGTTTGATAATTAATCAGATCGTCGGTATCGTTTGAGAAATGCTATCGGATTATCAAGTAGAGTTGAATTTTATTCGATTGACCGGAGATTTAATGCGAGTCAGTTACCGGAGTAATAATATTAGAAATAATATTATTATTGGAATTTGATTGTTTTAAATAAAATCGGATTTAATCGGTTTGATCGGGAAATAGTATTCGATATAATAATATTTATCTTGATAAATTATATTTACTTAATCGGTAGTATACTACTCGGTCCGGTATGTGATTTTCAATAGTTTTAATTAATTATTTATATTATTATTTTCTAAAAATGATCGGTTGATGTTTATTTTGAATAAAATAATAATTATTTAGTCGGTAATTCGGTCTGATATATGATTAATTGATTTTATTTGTTTTACCGGAAAATAACTATTTTTATGCGATAATATTATATTTGGTGTGTAAATATTTTATTATATATATTATTTGATTTATTGGTGAAAAATTAATTTATAATAATATTTATTTAGTTATATTAAGTTAGTTTAATAAAATAATATAAATTAGTTTTATATTATAAAAGAAAATAAGTTATGTTAGGTTGTTGAGTATTGTATGTTAGTTTATATATATATATATATATATATATATATATATATATATATATATATATATATATATATATATATATATATATATATATATATATATATATATATATATATATATATATATATATATATATATATATATATATATATATATATATATATATATATATATATATATATATATATATATATATATATATATATATATAAGTTAGAAAGAAAGTCGGTAAGTTAAAAACAAATACAAAAAAACATAAAGTTAGAAAGGAAGAGAGGTAGCAGAAGAGAAGAAAAGAGAAGAGAAAACTTAGGGTTTGGGAGAAGGGGAAAAGTTGTCGGAATCAACCGAAAAGCTCGTTCCGGAGACTAATCGGTAAAGGTTACACTTCCTCTAAACATCTAGTATATTTTTATTGCATTTGATTTCGGTTTTTCAGTTTAGAAAATTAGATTTTGTTGACTGTTAGCAAATATAATTTCTCTGTTCTAGTGAAAATGGGTGATAACAGAGAAATGGAGAAGAATGGGGGGACACGTTTGAATCACTCTTACAGTAGTAACATTGTTGTTTCTTTTTGTTTTTTTTCAAAACATATATATTATAATTAATAATATATTTATATATTATAATTCATAGTGTGATTAATTAGTATAATCGGTTACGGTTAATCGGTAAAATTCGATATTTTGGTTTCGACCGGAGATTAATTAAATCGTAGATGTGTTGTAGATTTGAAATGTGTTGTGAAATGTCGATTCCGAAAATAACATTGTTCGGTTTATAAATATTATGTTATATTAATAATTTAATTAATATATTAATATATATTATAATTAACAGTGTGATTAATTATATAACCGGTTACGGTTAATCGGTAACACTCGATATTTTGGATACGACCGGAGATTAATTAAATTGTAGATGAGTTGCTTAACTTAGGAGTAAGTGAAAATAGTACCGTTCGGTCCGATTAGCCGAATCAAGCGATATAATTAGTTACCCGGGATTGGATGAAAATTTAGATGGTAGCTAAGTTAGATGTGTAGATTAATATGGTGATGTCAGTTGTCGAAAATACGGCATTTTACGATGGGGACTGGAAATGGAGTTTAGGTTTGAATAATTATGTTTAATTAAAATATTGTAAAGTCGATTATGTTATTTTCGAGAGTATTCTTTGTGGTAGCCGAATCGGCGTAAATCCGAACATTTAGTTGTTGAAACGTGAGATTATATTATGGAAAAAAAGTGTTGAATTAACATGGGATAGTATGTGTATACTAGTGTTAATTACACTTTTGTAATATAATCGTTAAATGGAAAATTGATGGAAATGTGGTATGTTTATGTGATTATATTTTATAGATGATGAGTGACCTTGTGCTATGTGTATACTTGATATTTGTTTCGGTATATGTATGTTGTGAATTATTGATGATGTGCTTAACATTTTATGCTTGGGTGCTAAATGTTATATGTGATGTGATGAGATGATTATTTGATGCATTGTGTGCAATTGTTGATGAAAATTCATAGAGTTGAATTTGTTGGGTATGCATGTATATTAGGCTCAGAGTGGGGGTCTTAATTGCATGTATTATTGTTGAGTTTGCACACAGCACAATAAGTCGTGTCAAGAGGCGATGTTTGTTAGTCTCGTGGAGGCTAGTGGCTCGTCCCAGAATTAGAGTGAGGGTCTGAAAGCTTAGGGAACGGGCTTTTGTGATTATCCGTCTGAGGGATAGACATCGGTAAATTCGAAGGATAATAGATGATTGGTACCACATGCATAAGTCGTGTCGATGTGTCGGGTCGCACGTACACGTTTTGTTGAGTTTATGTGTTGTTGAATATTATGCATTATGCGCTAATTGGTAATTGAAATTGACTGTGTTTGATTTCTTTGAGTTGTTGATTATGTGAAATGGATTAAATGAGTATATTATGTTGTTTATGCAAGAGTTGGAAAAAGTATAAGATTCCTTTTATTTAATGTCTTTCATTTGCTTAAATTACATACTTTATGTTTATTGGAATTCTTACCCTTCTGTTGGAAAATGCTTGCTACGATATTGTTTAGGTAGCGATGATGGTAGTGTGCGACACTAGGACTTAGCAGATGCATTTAGGCGTGTAGTCCGTTACTTTTTAGTTATCGAGTCGATGCTCTGATTGTAACACTGGGGGTTTAGTGTCCGCATACGAACTCATATTTTTGTATATGGATTATACTTGTATATAATCCTTT